TTTTGAGGTAGAATTTCACTGAGCTACTAATTTACCTAGGCTGGGTTCTAACTTGTGATCATCTTACCTCAGTCTTTCAGAGTGCTGAGATCACAGACGCCACAGGACCAGCAAGAAAAGATATTTTTTAAAATAACAGACAGTTAAGCAGGCTAATAAGACAGGGTTGAGAAATGTTTCACAGAAACACACCACAAACAACTTAGGGAATGAGGCAAGAGGATCACAAGTTAAAGGCTAACCTGAGCTACACAAGAGTGACTTGTCTCACAAAGAAGAAGAAAGACGAAAAAAGAGGAAGAGGAAGACAAGGAGGAAGAGGGGAAGGAAGAAGAAGGCAAAAAGAGCAAGAGGAAGAGAAAAGAAAGGAAAGGAAGATGAAGAAATGACTTTCAGGAGAAAAGGCAAATGAAGATCTGTATGTTCTATACACATCTGTGAAGATCAGGGATGGGTAGAGGTGATGCTTTCTGAGACCTGGAAGTTTCTGCTTGGTATTTATGTTCACCACTACATCTTTTCCTGTGGTTACTAGCAAAAATTCTATAAAACTTCTGGATGGAGGCTAGTTTTTTTTTTTTTTTCAGAGCTGGGCTGGGTAACAAAGAAGTGGAGAAGCCAGGTGTAGTGAGTGATACATGCCTATAATTTCAGCACTTGGGAGGCTGAAGCAGGAAAGTTGAGGTCAAGGCCAGCCTGAGCTACAGAGTTCAAGACCAGCCTGAATTGCATAGTAAAACCCTGTCTCAAAACAAAACAAAATAAAACAAGAGCAAAAACAAAAACAACAATAAAGAAATGGAGAAATGTCTATGTCAAAAAAAAAAGAAAAAGAAATGTCTGTCAACTCAAATTAATAGAGCCATTTTGGGAGAGGGGGTAGAACCCAGGTAGAAGACTGGGTAGTGGCCATGAAATATTCAAGGGAGCCAAACCTCTGTGATCCTCAAGAGGAAAAAAAGTGGTGAATCAGTAGCCATTTGAGAACATAAACTTTGAGAACATAAGCTTTCAACTGGGAGAAAAACCTGTGCTTCCTATATCCTGCCATATCTGTTCATAGCATATGACAAGGATGGTTTTGGAGGCCTCCTGTTAGCCCTCTTTTCCTGTTCAGTGTCTCTTCTATTTTCCAAAGCTACCTTGATGACTCTAGTACTTGACCAAAGTGTATTATAACACTCCCACAGAAATGATGTAAGTTATCCTGAACTCACAAAACCTTAAAGTCATAGTGTTCTGTCACCCAACTGGTCTTTTTCCCACCCACCCCCTTCTAAAATAGCTGATCCTATGGCATATGATCATTTTTATCTGTCTAAGGTTTCAAAATATCTGTCCAAGGTTTCATCTTGTGAAGGTTCAACAAACATCTATTTGATGGCAGAGTCTAGTGGGGAAGATAATATACCCTCATGAAATGAAAAGCTGTGTAACCATGGGCACAAAATTAAAGAATACAAATCAAGTTCATAGAGGATCAGGTGGTACAAAGTAGATAAGTGATGTGTTAGGTCAGGCTAGTTGGGGAAAGTTTCCAAAAGCACGTAAGTTTTGGGCTTCAATTAGAAGTTTAAAAAGGTGATGGACATGAGTTGGTGGACAGGTGGACCTTTTCAAACAAACGCATGAAGGAAAGATGATGCAAGATACAACTCAAGCCAGGACAGTTGCCTGCTCCACCTTGACATTTCCCCATCTCAGCAACTCTACATGAGCAGTCACACAGAGCATCTATTTCAGTGAGAAGACAGCTCCTTGTCATCCAGTGACCACAGGCTCTCTCCTCCACTAAATGAATTCCTCACTCTTAAAGCACTTTCCAGATCCTCTAAATGAGGCTGCAGGAGAAAGAATAATATTCAGGAAATGCTTGCAAGGTATTATGAATAACTATGTACCATCTCTCTAGAGCCCAGGTAGGACTATATGGTTTTCTGTATGCCTTGTAGGTGACAACCAGAGGACAAATGTATGTTGGAGCAGAAGAATGAAGGAGTATAAAGAGCCAAGATAGCTATTTTGCCATGAGCAAGTTAATATCACTTTGAAGGGCCAATATAGACAGTGTTTTGTAAAATCCTAGTTGTATGGATATCCTTCTTAACAGAGAGAAGGCTTCAACATCACACAACATGTATCAATGGACACTGCAAAGGGTAAACTCAATTACAGTCCCTGTCCCTGGAAGTTTGAGATCCAGCAGAAAATTTGGAATGTGGCCAAGCAGATAATACATGATACAATTTATTTAAAAGTTGTTAAATGTTCAAGTGTAGTATCAGTTGAGTCCTGATCCCATTCATTCAACTAACATTCATTTTTACCAGTGATCCAGAGCCGAGATCACAGAGATACATAAATCAACAAGGAGCTCTCACTTTATCGGGAAAGACAGACAAATAAACAAGTATACAGTTGAGTATGGGCCATACAGCATGAACCTGCCCAAAGTACTTGGGAATGCTAAAAACAAATACTTCAACTACACTTAAAGGAGACAGAGAAAGCTGTATAGTTTTCCAAAGTAAGAGCCTTGAGATGACAAGTGACAAAATCCCAGGATGTAGACAGAAAAGTATAAAGGGGCTCAGTTATTTCCAGAAAATCACGGAGAACTCTCACTGGTTGGAATTCACAGTGCCAACCAAAAGATGAAGCAGGAAAAGTGTAAAGTGACCTGACTCTGAAGAGTACTACCAAGGAGTTTGAACTTATAATGTAGGCAATGGGGAAAATCAGAGAAAGTCATAAGCTGAGAAATTAAGTGAACACATGTAAATCACAGGATGCCAGTTCATCTGCCTCCTGGGTCAGTCTCCTATCTCCTTAAGCAAGCCACTTATCTCTGAGTATTATGAATGTCATCTATAAAATAAGAATAATAGTGATACTCTTCTCACAGGGTTGATATGAAGAATAATTGAGAAAACCCATTAGCACAGTGACTGGCACATAATAAGTGCTCCATAAAGTTTAGCCAGAATTACCTGGCATGCTTCTTAGAATGGTAACAGTGTTGCTGCATGTAACATAAACTGCAGTGCAGTAAGACTGATGGAAATCGATCGTATGAAGACAATATTGCAATTAAAATTCTAAATAAGGTCTCCAGCTAGGATTTGGATGGAGCAAGTTAGGGAGATGAAAAGGTCTTCCTTGGGAGCCTGGGTAGACCAAGACAACCATTAGCCAAATTCAGAGATCAAGGGTATCCAGAGGATAATGATATAGGGGAATGAAACTCCCAACTTACTATGTCCAGTACGAGTTCGTGTTCTCTAAAATCGAAGAATGAATTTTAGAAACAACAGAGGTTAAGAGTAGAATATATTTCTTGAAATAAAGAAAGATTGTGTCTGAAGAGAGACCTAAGGGGTTCCAAGCCGGTTGCCAAGGACTCTGTCCTTTCCAGGGACTTTTATAGAGTAAAACCATAGGATGAGACTGTTCAAGGTGGGGAAAACTGGGAACTCACAAGGCAGATGGGCATAAGGTAGGACACAACTATATCGTTAGCCAATAAGATTAATAGTTCAGGGGGCTGGGGATTTAGCTCAGCGGCATAAGCGGCATAAGCGCCTGCCTTCCAAGCAGGCAGTTGTGAGCTTGATCCCCGGTACCGATAAAAAAAGAAAAAGACAAAAACAAAAAAAAATATTAAAATTAAAAAAAGTATTAAAAAAATAAAAAAGAAAAAGACAAAAAAAAGTATTAAAATAGTTCAGGTAAAATTGATTACACTGGGGACAAATGGGGAAGCAAGTCACAAAGAAAGTGGGCATTCTTATGGAGCCATGACTCTTCCCTAGGGGGTTGGAAAGGTGACTCCTGGTTTCCTTGGGGTAATAGGAAACTATTTAGAATATCATTCCTTAGGATATGGATGCATTTGTTTGATCTTTTGCCTTGAGGCTTGGCCCACAGCAGGGGGTGTCTGTCTCCCCTTTGGTTGCAAGGTATCTGGGCTTCTGCACTGGCTCCTTCTAGGACCTAGCCCTGTCTCACTGCCTATAATATTTCTAACTAACTCAGCTGCCTGTAACAGTAGCAACGTGGATGCAGGAACAGATAACAAGTTCAGTTTGGGACCTATGAAATAAAAAGCGAAGCCGTTTAAAATAGGAACCAGAAGAATAGCAATACATAAGGGGAGTTCAGAAGAAGTGGTGGAGGAAGTTAGTGACAAAGATCTCACTGTCAGCGTGAACCGTGTATGGTGGGGAGAGTGTATAGTGGGGTCAGAGGCGGGTGGAGCAGACCCCCATAATCAGCTGTTTATGTGAAAACATGCCTCCCACTGAACTCCCACAACGTGTAAACACCTTCTTTTTAAGTCAGGTTTCTTGCTTCTTGCTTCACGGTTTTCTTCTTAGAGACAAAGTGTTTTTCCTCTTGATGGCTCTTGAGGAGGGGAAAGGTCTAGCATCTCCCAATATGGTAAAATATAAGGGACCTCGAATTACGGAGCAGGAGGAAAGCGGATGGAGGAGGAAAATTAGTTTCATGAAAAGGAAAGGAGTCCACAACGATCATTAATAATTTAAAGTTCCACCTCCCCATATCCTGCCACGCCGTTCTCCTGCCGCGAACTTCTGGCTCCTGGTCGCAAGGTAGGACGGGAAATGTAGTCCTTAAATCTGACCAGGGTGACACGACTGAAGAACTCGGTTTCCCAACTGGCTCTCCAGGCGCGTGCGCAGATGGCTGCCCCAGCGAGTGGTAAACAGAGACGTCAGGCTGGGGCTGCTGCTTGGAGCAAAACAAAAGGGAAACCCGGGGGGCGGGGGGTGGGGGGTTTGATCGGGGAACTGGTGCTGGAACTGGAGAGACTGGGGTCGCGAGAACTTTGACCCTAGTAAGAGTGGCGAGAAGGGAAGAGGCGGGGGAAGGGGAGTCAGGGGAGGGGCAAGTGACGCCGGGAAGCGGGGTTTGGGGGAGGGCAGTGATCCGGGAGGAGGAAATTTGGGAGGAGTGTCGGGGGGGGGGGGTGGGCAGCAACTTAAAAGGGGGAGGGAACTACTGCTTGGAAGACTTTCGATGATGGGAGCGCAAGTGTGAGGGGATACCGTGCCTCGGGTTTAAAAGAGCAGGAAGCTGAGTGAGAGTTTAGAGAAAAAGTGTCTTCGCTAGGCGGCGGTTACAGGTGGTGCCTCCAAAGAGCTCTGAGGCTCCAGGCTGTAGTCGCGAGAGGATCAGAGAACTGTGTGGAAGGGACAGTTTGGGGACTAGCCTCTTGAGTTCATGACTTTCTGGGGACCGACAGGAATGTGCCTCCTGGCCCTCGGTGCTTCCCTCCTTGGGGGTGGCATGGTGAGGGACTCTGGCAGACTGCACTGAACGCTGAGCCACAGAAGTCCAACTCCACGTATGGATCCAGGGAATAAGAATTCAGCCACAGAGGCTGCTACAATTGTAAACCTCGATCCCGACTTCGAACCCCAGAGCCGTCCCCGCTCCTGCACCTGGCCCCTTCCTAGACCAGAGCTTGCTTCTGAGCCATCCGAGCCACCCGAGGTGGAGCCAGGTCTGGGACAGAAGGTACACACGGAGGGGCTCTCGGAGCCGATCCTGTTGCCCTCCCGGCTCCCAGAGCCGGCAGGGGAGCCCCAATCGGGGATCCTGGGGGCTGTAACAGGTCCTCGGAAGGGAAGCTCCCGCCGGAATGCCTGGGGAAATCAGTCGTATGCAGAACTCATCAGCCAGGCCATTGAAAGCGCCCCGGAGAAGCGACTGACACTCGCTCAGATCTATGAGTGGATGGTCCGCACTGTGCCCTACTTCAAGGACAAGGGTGACAGCAACAGCTCAGCGGGATGGAAGGTAACTATGACTCCCTTACCTGCATCCCAACACCACCTATTCCTGGGTCCCTCGGCCAACTCTTACTCTTGGACCCTTTTTAACGCCCCCCCCCCACCTTTAAGCAGTCTAGAGATCCAACTTAAGTCTTAAGATAGACATTTACTTGGTATATAGTATATGCCACACTCAGAGCTTGATGCTGGAGGTTCACAGATGAAGTAAGACAGTGTCCCTACCATGGAGAAAATCGAATTCTCTGCTCCCTGTTCAACAGTTCCTGCACTTTAGCTTGGGCTGTCCCAAACATTTATTCCCACAGAGAAATCTTTATCCTATATACAGCAGGAACTGTGTGAATTCCTCACATGAACTTAACCTTTCCTCCTCTCCCACCTCCTACCCCAAAACCTTTTCTCCCATTCCTGTGGGATTACTTGAATTCCCTGCTTGCCTCCCTATGCCTCAGTGTAGAGGTACTATTCTAGGATTGCTCTACTCAGATGAGGGAGTGGGTGGCAAAGGATAAAAAGTGTGGTATTCGTAGGGAAAAGTAATTGATTTTATGCACCAGGAAGAAAATGGACTGTGAGCTGCTATTTGACTCGGTTTACCTACAAGAAATTCTCCCTTATAAGGATCCCTCCAAGCTTTTGGGGTAAAATCATGATTTACTGTAGAAGAATATTACTCATGTAAGGATGTAGGACACTGACTTTAAAATGCAAGGTTGGGAGTTCCCTTGGCCTTTCACAAAGAAACTGTGGGGAAAGAACTCCCAAGATACTCAAAAAAAGTCTTGTCCTAAGAAATATACACTCTAATCACAAAATCAGGCAGCTTCAACGCATATTAATGTATTGTGCCTCTCGTTGGTGAGGTCAGCATACAACAAAATACAGAAACTGCCATAAGCAAAGGGTCTTCCCTCAGATATGAGAGATTAAGAGATCAGATCTGCAGTATGTGTAAGGGCTGAACAGAAGACAGGACAGCTGAATGAGACCCTTTGCACTATTTCTGGGTAGACTGCCACACCAGTCTCAGCTCATAAAGAACTCCTTTCCTTGGACCCAGCCTACACAGCTGTTTTTCTTTTCCCTTAGGTTCATTTTCTAGAGTAGAAGAAATAACCTTGAATTGTTAGTTTTACCATGGGAGTACAGTCCTTCCTTTATAGCTTACAATATAGTTTTAAATTTTTTCATTTGATTACTCTTCACAGCATTTATGAGATTCTACATTTTACATATTAGGAAACAGAGGTACAGAAAGGTTAGGAAATGCGCCTACTATCAGCAGAATGAAGACTTTAAATCAGTTCTAACTGTAAATCCTATTTCTCTAAGAAGTACATGACTTGCTTTCATTAGAACGATTGCAAAACCAAATCATACTGAGTCTGGGGCTTCCAAGCCCCCACACCCCCACCCCCACCCAATCTCCTGGGAGGAAGCTTCAAGCCTGAGTTGGCTTCCCTGAGGATGTGCCATGATTAGTCCCACCCCACCAGGGGGCGGCACTCACTTAGAACAAGAGTGCTTAGGTTAGGTGGCTTGGGGAGCAATTAGCAGCCACCCTTCCCACAAGCATATGAGAGTTACAGACTTCTAGGGAACAAACCTCTCCCACTTGCTAGTTCCAAGGCCTACAAAAGAAAGATGGACAAATGAACTACATAGGCATTAAGTAGTAGAAAAGAATGGGCCTTCTTGGTAGACCCAGAGTTAAAGAATGAGAAGGGACGCAATCACAGCACCAGGAGTCACTCTAGTCCTTAGTTCCTAAGAGTTTAGGCCAGATGGACAAGTACAAGTCCTTGAAGGAGCTAGAAACATTTGTGCAACCAAGAAAATTGGAGTGCCATGCCCACAAGGTCCCAGGGAGATAAGTTCTTTGGCTAAAGGGCTATGGAATAAGAAGCTGCTTAGGAGAGCTCTCCAAGCAAAGGGTCTCCTTATCTGAAAGCACCAGAAACACATGAGTGGCTCCCTACTGTTCATAGCCTTAGCCACCTCCTTGCTCCAAGCACATCTAGCTCCTCCTGAGTTTCTAAACTAAAGAGCTGCATGTGGGAGGTCAAATTCCTATAAGGGTAGAGAGATTATCCACAAATTCCTGAGAAGTGGGGAAAAGGAAATAAGAGGGAAGGAGGAAAAGGGGGGACCAAAACTGGGGTGTAACCAGCCTTCAGCAGCCAACAAAAATGAGCTACACCCAGAGCTCAAGAAGTTGCCCATCTCAGTCTTGCTCCCTGGCCTAGGGTGGAGTGTCCCTATCAGAATGATACCAGTGAGCCCACAGCTTCCAGTGCCCAAGGCATTCAAGAGCTGAGGAACTGGGACATGGGATTCAGCCTGTAATCCCAATATTCTTGGAGACTGAGGCAAGAGGATCCCATTTTCAAAACCAGCCTGGGCTGAGGGTTTAGCTCAGCAGTTTAAGTGCCTGTTTGGCAAATGCAAGGTGGTGAGTTTGATCACCACCAAAAAAAAAAAAAAAACAGCCTGGGCAATTTAGTGACAGTGACAGTAGTAGGGCACTGATAGAGCCTCAAAGGGAACCTCACTTCCCTCACCCATCAGGCAAGAAATATGTACTGTGAATTTTTTTTTGTACCAGGGATTGAACTCATGACCTTGTACTTGCCAGGCAGACTCTTATGCCACCCACTAAACCCCCAGCCCCAGTACACTGTGAATTTGATATGCTGTGGGTTTGATAGTCTGGGATTTCACTGTTGGAGGTTGTGGGACTGGAGAGCATTGTCTGTGCCACTGGCACTTATACTTGATGAGTCTAATTACATGAAACTGTAAACCATGCATTATACATAGATTGGTTATAATTGTGTGGGACAGACTAAAAATACTGTGCAAGAAATGTGGCTGTCAAAGTCAAGCAATCACTTTATAGAAAAGGTAGTACTTCAACTTTGCCTTGAAGAGCTAGAAAAACTTAGAGAGGAGATCTTTCCTAGGAAAAAGAGGGAGTGATAGTCATAAGTGTGGTGAAGGGTATGTCACCAATTGGCAGAAATAAAGCTGAGATTCAAGGGGAAAAAAGGAATCTTCCAATCCTATAGAAAGCTGGTGGTCCAAATACTTGAAGGGGAAAGGAGTACCAGCTGTGTTGAGGTTCCAGCCCCCTGCCCCCATCTCAGAGAACTTGCCTAGGACAGGGATGTATGACCATTGTCCTATAATCTCCACCTAGCCTCTCTCAAGGAAAGGGGTGGAAGCCAGGGATGGTGGCACAGACCTGTTACTCCAGCACTTTGGAGGCTGAGATAGGATCACTTAGAGGCCAGCTTAGGCTACATAGCAAGAGTCTGCCACAAAAAAAGGAAGCAAAGGAAAGGAAGAAAGAGAGAAAAAAAAAGAAAGAAGCCTGGGAATTTAGTTCAATGGTCTAAGCACCTGCCTGGCAAGTGTGAGGTCATGAGTTTGATCCCCAGTACCACCAAAAAAAAAAAAAGGATGGAGTTGTGAAAGACTTTTTCTCATTTAAACTTTAGTTCTTGCTGGGTCACTAGCCCCAGATACTCCCCAGAAATCAGGAAAGGAGCTTTTGGGGGAGGCACTCTGCCCTCTATAGTGAATTGTTACTTTATCTAAGGTACCCCTGTGCAGAGAAGTCAGGGGCAGAGCCACTTGTCCTAAAGAAGGAATAGTGTATGGTCATCTTCTCTTCCTTCTTCCTCTCAGCTCCTTCCTCTCCCCTCTGCCAGTTTCCCCTCAGTTTGATGTTGAGTCTCTAGGTACACCCCTGCTGTGTCCCAACCTCCCTGTAGGTAACTAATCTGCTGGCCACCTGCCTCCCCTCCACACACCTCCCTTCCCTGCTCACTCTACCCTCTCCAGAACTCCATCCGCCACAACCTGTCCTTGCACAGCAAGTTCATCAAGGTTCACAATGAGGCCACTGGCAAGAGCTCTTGGTGGATGCTGAATCCTGAAGGAGGCAAGAGTGGCAAGGCACCCCGCCGCCGGGCTGCTTCCATGGATAGCACCAGCAAGCTGCTCCGGGGCCGCAGCAAAGCCCCCAAGAAGAAACCATCTGTGCTGCCAGCTCCACCTGAAGGTGCCACTCCCACAAGCCCTATAGGCCACTTCATCAAGTGGTCAGATAGCCCTTGCTCTCGAAGCCATGAGGAAGCTGATGTGTGGACCACCTTCCGTCCACGAAGCAGTTCAAATGCTAGCACTGTCAGCACCCGGCTATCCCCTATGAGACCAGAATCTGAGGTTCTGACAGAGGAGGAAATACCAGCCTCAGTCAGTAGCTACGCAGCGGGTGTCCCACCACTAAATGAAGATCTCAAGCTGCTAGATGGGCTCAATCTTACATCTCCCCACTCACTGCTATGCCAGGGCAGTCTCTCGGGCTTCTCTTTGCAGCATGCTGGGGTTACTGGCCCCTTACACACGTATAGCACCTCCCTTTTTAGCCCAGCAGAGGGGCCCCTGTCAGCGGGAGAAGGGTGCTTCTCAAGCTCCCAGTCTCTGGAGGCCCTGCTCACCTCTGACACTCCACCACCCCCTGCCAATGTCCTCATGACCCAAGTAGATCCTATTCTGTCCCAGGCTCCCACACTTCTGTTGCTAGGGGGGATACCTTCCTCCAGTAAGCTGCCCACAGGAGTGGGCCTATGTTCCAAGCCCCTAGAAGCTCCAGGCCCCAGCAGTCTGGTTCCCAGCCTTCCTGTAATGGTACCACCTCCAGTCATGGCAGGTGCTCCTACCCCCAAGGCCTTGGGGACTCCTGCACTCACATCTTCTACTGAAGCAGCAAGCCAAGACAGAATGCCTCAGGATCTAGATCTTGATATGTACATGGAGAACCTGGAGTGTGACATGGATAACATCATCAGTGACCTCATGGATGGGGGCGAGGGGCTGGACTTCAACTTTGAGCCAGGTATGATATCCTAGAATCACCTTGGCACCTCAAACCTATGTCTGCTCCTGGATGTCCAGCTGAGCCAGTGAGAGATTTAGAAAATGGGTAGTAGGAGCTTATGGGGAACTGGAGAGATGTCATATTATAGTGACATAGTTTCCAAATGGAACCTCCGGGCACCTCAGCAGTACCCTACCCCCACAAGGCAGTAAAGAAGGGGTATGTGTGTAGGGAGAGGGTGTCTGTTTTCTGTTTTCCTGAGCATGAATCTGGATGGTGGGAAGTTGGCCTGCTCCCAGATCAATCTCTTTGTCCTATTTCTTCTTCCTGCAGATCCCTGAGTCGTGGCTGGAAGCTTTGTTCCCCTGCTTCAGAGACGGAGCTAGGCACATTCATATCCACTCTTTTCCCTTGAGCCCTCCCTAGGAAATATGGGACCCTACTTCAGAGCTTGGTGGGGTCTAGTCACACAAACAGATATTGAGGATTGTGACGATAAAGCTGCCTCATATAGGAGCGATGTGGGGAGGGGCGAGTTTATTCTCACTGTGCCAATTAGGAAGTAAGGCCCCTTCTCAGGAGCCATCCTTAGCTACCCTGACTCCCATCCCTGGAAACAGGGGCCAGCAATGCTGTTGGAAATGTGAAGTCACCAGTGGCCTTACCCCTGCCTTTGGTAGCGGGGTTTTTTGTAGAGTCTTATCTGAACTGGACCAGGCTAAACTGAGCCTGGGATTTTTATGCAGTGGCCCCTTAGGCCAGTGGTGTGAGTTTGGTGGGTGGGATAGGGGACCTTAAAGAGCCAAAGGTCTGAGCACTGGAGTGGCTCACCAGGCCAGTCACTTTTGGGAGGCTGCTGATAACAAAAAGGCTTTTTATAAACTTTTAAGGGAATATAAACACAAATATAGAGATTTTTAATAGTATCAAGGTGCTAGTGATGGCAAGAATACTTTTTTTTCTTTCTGAAGGCTTTGTCATAGTGACATGATAAAAACACTACAGACAGTACTAGTACACGGGAAAGTAGGGGTGAGGAGGGGAGCAATAGCAGACAAGAAGAGCTTCTGTTTGGACCGGCCTAGAAAAAGGTCCTTGCATAACCAAGTTAGAATTGCCCTAAGGAAAAATTTAAGCCAAGTGTCCTCCTTCAGTCAGTTTATACCAGTGGTAGCAAACCTGTGGTACTCAGCTGCAGCAGGCTATTTGTTTCATTGGAAGTTGTAAAAGGTTCACCATCACCAATTTATACCTAGGAGACTGTGGTGTTGGGATGTGGCCACCCCCTTGTATGACCCAATGTGGGTTACTGGGGGAAGGTGTGTTGAAGGCCTGAATTAGCTTGGGGCCTGGGAGGAGGTCAGAAAGAGGAGAAGAGGATTTAGAATGGTATAGTTAGGTACAGAGACGTCCCTATGCAAGGCCCCTGACAGCTGTCCCTGCTCTTCTTTTCCTTCCCTGACTGCAGGGGTTATATGGAAGTGGGGGAGGGGAGAGCTTGGAAGCTTGACTGAGGCTCTGGGAAGTGAGTGGAGATGGGGGAATGTGGATCAGGTTTATAAGCGCCTGCTAGGGAGACTAGAGTTCTTTCACCACTCCAGTCCCCAAAGCAGCCCCTCCCCCAGTGACTTTTGCACTGTCCCCTCCCCCACTTGTTGTGGGTTCCCGTCATTTCCTGTGTCAGCGCTTGGCCTACCCAGATTGTATCAAGTGCTAGATTTGAGTGGGGAAGTGTGTCAAATCAATAAATGAATAAATTCAATAAATGCCTATAACAAGCTCTGGTTTCTGCTGTCTTACTGCTCCCCTTAGATAAAGAAAAAGGGTAGTTAAATCAAAATCAGATGGGAAGGACTGCCCTGAGGCAGAGAGATGAGGATGGGGGAATTTCAGCCTGGGAGGCATTGGAGAGTGTAGGGAAAGACACCTATCCCTAGCCTCAGTAGAGAGGAGGCCTCCTAAAGTGAGGTAGGCTAGTGTGAGAAGACTGTACCTGCTTCTTCATCCCTCAAAGACTCTACTAGACTTTAAAGTCTTTCTCCCCACCCTAACCCTTGTGCTCACTATCCCTCTCCTTCCACTCCATCTACCCTTGAGTCTCACCAGTGCCTGAGGCATACTTAAACTTAATGCAGATAGTGAGGAGTCTTTCTCAGAAAAGGAACTTCCAAGAGTCAGGCTCGATGGTGCCCGCCTGTAACCTCAGCTACTTGAGAGGCTGAGGCAAGAGGATCACAAATTCCAGCCCCTGAGCAATTTAGCAAGACCTTGTCTCAAAAAGAGTTGGGGATGTAGCTCAGTGGTAGAGCTCAAACCCCAATACCCAAAGAAAAAAAGAAAAAGGAACACATTAAATTCCAGGAATCTCATACCCAGAATCTGTTCTCACTTGGTCACTTTATTGAGTTATCGATGTCTATCCCTCCGACCGTGAAAATCTACTCTGGTCTTATAGTGCTGGCCCTTTCGAGGAGAGGGAGCGGGTGCATGTTCTTCCAGTTTTCCAGATTTGGACTAGAAAGGAAAAGTAAGATAAACAAAGAGGTCCTGTGGGGAAAGTAATGAAGGACAAAAGAAGGCATGCATTCGAAAAGGAAATTCAATTCCTTAGGCAGAAGTGGGGAATATCCAGTTTGCTGGTGGAAAGAGGACAAGCCACATTTGAGCGCTCTTACTGGAAGGTTCACAGTGGATTCAATTGCAGCAACCTTCTTGGCTTCTAGGATTTTAAGCATCTTCACTCGGTTCCTCTCTAAGATATCACATTGTGTTCGTAGGACATCTAGGAACGGAAAAAAAGGCACCTACACCTGCTAGGGATTGAGACCCTACCCATACTGATCCTCCCACCATTCAGATGGTCAGATGGAGTAACCTGGCCTAAGATGTTAAAAGTTAGGATGGTAATAGGGAGAGATACACAGAAAGGATGGTAAAGAAATGGGGTGAAGGGGTTTGCCACATGCACACTCTACCTGGATTTAACTAAACATCCCTCCGAAAGTGGACCTACACCCTGTCTCCTTTTTCTAGGCTTCTGTGATTCCACCTACCATAATACACTACTCTCACCATAAATTTTCCATCATACAGCTATGTAGCACACTCTCCATATTCTTCCCTCTCCCACCATACTCCTTACCAACCAGTTCCGGTTCTGGATTCTTCAGGAGGGGCACAATAGCTCTGTAGGAATTCTCAATTCTGGTTCCTGTGAACATTACAGTGTAATATCCCCAACCCTTGTCACCTAGTCTACACCCTTATGAAGTCCAAGATTTCAGGACTCCAACACTGCCTTGAGTTGGTTTGCCTTATTTTTTTCTCTTAGATATGAACATAAAGGGAAATTGTGGACACTAAGAAGGGGAGGGTATGAACCTAACTTTCTGTCATAGAGGCAATGCCCTGCCTTAGCCTTCTTAGAAATTATCAATTTGGATCTGATGAAAGGTATTCTATTTTAAGGACAAAGCTCTTCATCCATCTTCAGGGCCTTGCTGTATCTAGGGAATACTCTCAAACCTTTACCTGGTGCCCCACGCTCCACCTTACAAACGTAGTAGGTGTTTCGAGCTGTAAGGAATTTGCTGGCATATTCTCCATGGATCTTCGTCATGAAAAACATCTTCAGTGTCCCCGATTCATCACACAAATCGATGATGTCTGGAGGAAGGCCACAGGATAATTGGGGCAGTTGAGGACACACAATGAGAGTAAAGGAGACCCAGGATCCTCCAGACTGCGTTGGAGGAAGCTGTAGGGATACGAGGAACTCTCTTCTTGTCAGGAGAAGGGTTTAACTACTAAACATGACTTTACTGCTTCTGACCTGGGTCATTAATCCCCTCCCCAAACTCCTCACCTCGTTTATGCAAGCCCACTTTAGAGCGAATATAATGCATCAATAGGAGGACAGAGCAATTGGTATTAACCAGAAACTGCTGGTTATCTGAGAAGAGATAGGATGGGGCGTATGAGCCCTTCTATAGTCACACCATCTCTGTGATCTCCATTGCCCTTATGCCTCCCCACACCCATTCCCAGACCTCCAGCTCTGTGCTGCCCCTCACCTCCATATTTGATGACGATAAACATGGTCTCAAGATCATCTCGCTCTTCAGAAAGCACCCTGTGAGTTTTGTGGAAAAAGGGTGTTCTAGAGCACCTTGGGGGTAAGGGCAAGTGGGCCTGTAGGGTTAAGAGACTGGAGGGGCAGATGGATCTCACAGGCTGAGAAGGCCCAGACCAGGCAGATAGGACAAAGCTATTGGCAGTTGTGGATAACCAGCATCTCTGGGGTGGGGCCTGAGACCCAGGTGAGGGATTGTGAGGTCAGAAGTGATACTTGTTGCAGAAGATGGAGTAAGGCTAAAGAGAGAAGTTGGGTGGGATCTGTAAAAGATGTGTTGGATATGGCATGGGCGGCCTCTAAATACAAAACTAAACTGGACCTGGAATGACTGCAGAAACTTACTGAAGAAAATTCAGTTTCCAAGACAATATTCCTTTTTAGTTAATTTGTAGTATTATCACTTCTACAACATGACTCTACTTCTTTTCCCTGCCCTCACACCATGATTCCCACCATCCTTGCTCCCCATATTTCCCTTGCTCCCCATCCCCATGACAGACATTCTTGATGATTCTCAACAGAAATTTTATTTCTCATTGATTCTGGAACAATTGAAGGATAGGTGGTACAAGGAAGGGAAGGAGGAAGAAAGAAGCCTGTAAAAAGGAAAGGTCAGACTGGGGAAGATAAGAAACTTGCATAGGGCATTTCTCAAGTGGGGGATACTGAATAAAAGGGCAATTACATGGGGCATCAAATCCAACATTAGCTAAAGGATGGGATGCACATTGAACATTTCATCGGAAGGGAGGGATGAATGAAAGGGAGTTAGTAACACATAGTGCTATGGGATGTTGAGTTTTTGTCAGGAAACTGGGGCTCAGGTTTTGGACTTCAAGGTGTAACATGGAGGAACCCTGTAGGGCTGACCAAAGAAGTCCCCAGGCCCCTCCCTGGGGCCTCTCCTTTTGGGGGGACCTCACTGACATGACAGAGCCGTTCATTGTAGTCTGGTTGCAGACTCTCAGCCAGTCCCTTAGACACACCACTCCAGGCCTAAAGACAGAAATCCACAGGTCAAAGATCAACTAGGGGCAGGAAGCAAAATATTTATGCTCTGTGCCAGAGAAGCTCCCAAGATGTCTGCAACTACTATGATTACAGATGGGCCTTCAATACTACCGTTTTCATCTGTCTCCCACAACCCGTAATTCATTTTTCTGTGTGTCTCTCTGTCATCCACCCCTTATTTGGTAGGCCACATCTTGACACTTAGTGCAGGCCCCCCACCACTGTTTACTGCAACCCCTCCCCCACTAACATCTATCTTGCTGGCCAGCAATTGGCAATTGACGGACTGTAATATATTTGATAGTGTTCTCACCGAAAAATTCCCATGGTATTCAGTGATCAGATCCTCTAGGTTCTTGAGGGTGGGAATTCGAGGCATTGTCCTGATAGGAGAAAGAGGGAACAGGAATGCTTAAGTTAAAGCTCTTTTGTTACCCTTCTAGTCTTGCCATCTGAAATGATGGGGTTCTGTGTTTTTTGTGCCTGTAGCTTCCTCCTATCACCACACCTTCTTGGATGATCCCTCATTCCTTAGTGTCTTGCCCTCTATCCCTGAGGATCCTCAAATCATCTTCCATCACTCTTCCCAATCACCCTACTTCATGTTTTTGAGCTTTCTTAAATCTCACCGTTCCAGCCAGCAATACACAAAGAAGAGACTAATAATCAATCCCATGGAGCCAACAGGGATAAGCACAGCTTTCGTTATAAACAGCCAAGGATTCTCTATAGAAAAAAAGGAAAGGAAAAAGAACCTTACTTTGTGTCTCCCCACCATGACGAGGGTACTAGGCATCAATGTGAAACACACTCCCTCTACTTGATTTTCACTACAGAGGAACAATCATTATCTACATTTTACAGATTTGGAAACAGAATCAGAGTGGTTAGTCTGGTTCCAAGGCCATCTTCGCCATGCAGGCTCTCTGGAATGCTGGAGAGAAATCACACACATTCCATATCCCCTTTGAGCACCCTTTGGCCTCCTTTTCAATCCACTCCCCCTACTTGACAACACATAACTCAAGCCTACAGAGAAAAATCCCACATCCTAGGAACTGAGGTCAAACAGGAAAGGGAGAGGAGGCAGCATGTTTAGGGGATTAGGAATAGGGAGGTAGAACAAAAATGATGGTGTTAGAAAGGTTGAGGTGCTGGGCTCATGGATTGGGATCATGTATTTGGTCCGTTTTACCCTTTGAAATATTGCTTCCCCAATAGACTGGGTGGCTCCATTTACTCCAATGCTGAGCACTTCCACAGAGTGGATTAAAGCGGCTCCGGACCCGGAATGTGTACAGTTTCTGCCCATCCACACTAGGAAGGGAGAAGCTCTGTTTGTGATCCACTTGTTGTTCCTTGGAAAGAAGGAAGGTAAGGAAAAGGTCAGTGTATATAAACAAAAGGAAAATTAAAAAATACACTCTCACCTATAATTCAGTGTCACCTGGTTCTTTCAAGTTCTGGCTCTTCCCAGTTCCAAAGAAACCTGTTTCTCCCCTCCTTTCTTTTTAAAAAAATTTATTTCTATTAATACATATTTGCAGCACATAATGGTCACATTCATCATGGGGGATTTGTATGTGTACATAACAAATCTTCATTCATTTTTGTCCCCATCCTCTTCCCTCCCTCTGACTTTTCCCTCCTCTCAACAGTTCAAGCCATGCTTCCCTTTACACTGACTTAAATCTAATGCCTCATCTCCAGATCCCCTTAATGGTTTGCATTTGTTTACTTCTCTGCCTGGTCTCAGGAAGTGTCTGGACAGGGAATTCACTAACAATGATAGTGAAAGGAGTTGGAAGAGAGTAGAGGGTAGAGGAGCAGAGCAGTTGGGAGGCAAAAAAAACCAGGAGCTTGGTCTAAGGTCCTTCTGTCTGACTGAGGAATGCTTTGACCCCATCTGTTTGGATTTAACTGCTGCATTCATGTTCCCAGTCACTCACAGTCCAGTTGCTATCCCAGTCGCTCCGATACTGCACCAAATGCTGCAAACAGTGGTCCAAGGCATATCTGTTTTTCCAGCTCAGCTCTAGCTGGGATTCACTCAGGTTGCGAAGTGTTAGATTCTCTGGAGCCCAGGGGATCACTGGAGACATGTGTGCATGTGCAGTCATTCCCCTGGCCTAGACAAGTCCAGATCTTAAAAGTAGTTCTCCTCACCCCTCTTCCCTTCTGCATCCTGATCCCCTACCTCTTCCTTTCTGTATACCACAGTGGAGAAAGAACACTACTCCACTGACTCTAATGCCCCTCAGTAGCCCTGACCACTTGGCCACTTCTTTCCAGATTACCCAGATTCTGAAGTTTTAGCTTCTGTTCCATCTGCCTCCTGGGTTCTCGTGGGTCCTGGAGCCGGACAACAAATGTTTCATAGAGACGGATCTCGCTTTTTGGCAGCCAACAGCCAGATGTGATCTCTTTTGAGAACTTATAATGACCACACTCCTGGACTTTATAATTATCAGAGTTCTTGTACCTGGAGAAAGATTGGAAGGAAGAGGAATAGTGGGGCAGATTTGGGTACTGCATATGTTCATGGCCTAACCTCATCTGATCGGAACTGACTTATACCCCATGAGAAAATTGAAAGATGCCTGGAGGTTGGTTATCCTCTTTCTTGGTCTCCTTGGAACCTCTCTCATCCACCCCTCCTCTTCCTCCCCTGCACAATCCCCTCTTCCCTTCTCATACCCATATTGCAGAGTCAGGTTGGTAGGCTGGGGTTCAGAGCTGCTATTCCAAGTGCAATTCATGTACTCGCCATTGAACACAAAGCACTGAACTTCTGGGAGGGGCAGGGTGGAAATGTTAAGAGACTCAAGGGTCTCAGAGGTCGAAAAGGAATCTAGGTTGGGGAGAAAATAAAGTGGGAGAGGAAAAAAGAAGAAATAGTGTGAGGCAGGGATCCTTTTCCCTGGCCCTCCCAGGTCTACTCTTCAATTCTCCCTGAATTGTTGTGAAGGCCAGGCTCCGGATTTCCATATGGTCCCTTCCCATAGCCTCCTCACCAACCCTCTCCAGTCCCAGATTCCCCACCAGCTGTGGTGTCTTCATTTCCACTGGGCTTGAGGACCGTTGAGTTCAGCCCCACCCCCAGCAGAGGCAGCTGCAGGAATAAGAGGGAGCTCAGTGGCAATGAGGGCTTCAACATGGCGCTTGGTCTTTGTTCCCTGGGTGTAGTCTGTGTCAGGAACCTGGGCGCCTCACCCTCTAGCCCTCCCCACCCACACATTTCCTTCTGTCATAGCTTCCGGTGGAAAGAACCTTACAAACCAGGGTTTTACAGAGGGTGTGGCAAATGTGTTCAGTGACACAGGCTAAGTCCTCTGGGAGATTAGGTGGGAGTTAAGTAGAGACTAAGGAGAGTATACAAGTGTCACAGACTCAAGGATCCTCAGAGCACCTAGATCCTAGGAGACATTTGCTCACCTCAACTACCATCACTCCCAACAATCTTCTCTAAATCATTATCTTTTTAAAATTTTTATTTATTTATCTTTTTATTGGTTTTTTTTTCTTTTTATTAGTTTTTTGAGACAGGGTCTCACTATGTAGTTCAAGCTGGCCTTAAACTCACTCTGTAGCTCAAGTGACCTTAAACTTGCAGCAATCCTTTTGCCTCAGCCTACCAAATGCTGGGATTATAGGCATGTGCCACCACACCTGCTATCTAAATCATTGTCTTTTATAGTGGAGGCTCTAACACCACCCCCATCCTATGCTATGAGCCTTCTTTACTTAGTCACCCTTAAATCTCTGTCAAAGCTATACTGTGCTAGAAAGATGGAAAATACTGTTGTGGCTCCTATGGGCACGTATATAGCTATCTTTCCATAACCTAGTTAGAACCAGAATACCCACGCATAGCTACTGCTGGAGCTGGATCTGTGTAGCAGTAAGTGAGGAGATCTGACTTAGAAATGAAAAAACCATAATACTAGTTTCAAACTCCCCATCTTCCCCCAAATCAGCTTTTCTTTCTGTCTTCCCTATCTTAGTTAATAGTATCACTCTCTCAATCACCCAGACTTGAAACTTGAGTGTCCTCCCTAACACCCTCTTCAATCCAGCAGTTTCCTCTTTTCCATTCCCACAGCTGCTGTGCTGAATCAGCTTTTCATTACTTTCAATCATAATTATTACTAGAACCCAGTCACTGGTCTTCCTTTCTGAAGGTCTTTTGCTCTCTAATCTAATCTTCAATCTATGGCCATACTTATTTTCTCCTAAACACAGGAGCTGGTTAGAGAAAAGAATCTATTTATAGAAATTGTTTGCCTCCCAATATTTTGAGATGTTTTATTTTGTTTGTTTTGTTTTGATTTTTGTCTTTTTCAGACAAGGTATCCCTATGCAGTTCAGGCTGGCCTTGAGCTCACTGTGTAGCTCAGGCAGGTCTGAAATTTGCAATGATCCTCCTGCCTCAGCCTCACAAATGCTGGAATTACAGGTGTGCACCACCATACCCAGATCTCTTGTTCAGTGTTTTTTGTTTTTGTACAGGGGATCGAACTCACAACTTCGTACATGCCAGGCAGACACTTATGCCATTGAGCTAAATCCCCAGCCCCTTGTTTGGTTTTTAAGCCATGGTTTCACTAACTTGCCAAGACTGGCCTTGAACTCATGAGACTCCTGCTTCAGCCTCGTAAGTGCTGGAATCACAGACATGTATCACCACAGAAATTATTTATCCAGAAAATATTTATTGAGTCTTTAAGAATATGCTTATATTAAAAGAGAGCTTATATTTTGAAAATATACAGACAAGATGCCATTATCATTCTTGAAGCTCATAGATAAGTGGGGAAGACATAAATAATACCATATAGTGTAAATTTTATGGCATAAATGTGAAGATAGTACAAAGTATATGAATACAGAAGGGGAAGTAACTAAATTTACCAAGATGGAGAAGTGAGTAATTTAGAGGAAAATTTTGCTGAAGACCTGCTTTTTGAACATACTCTTAAAAGAATGAGCCAAGTGTGGTGGTACATGCCTGAAGTTCTAGCACTCAGGAGGCTGAGACAGGAGGATTACCACAAGTTTGAGGCCTGTCTGGGTTACATTGTGAGTTCAAGAACTACACAGCAATACCCTGTCTCAAAAACTAAAATTAAACAAAGTATAATTATACAAGACTGATAAGGAGGTAGGACATTAGGCAGAAGAAAAGAAGATGGGGTTCAGGAAACAGGATTATACAGCTTAGAATTTATTAGGTTGCTAGGGCTGCCATAACAAATTACTCCAAACTCTAAAACAGAAATTTATTTTCTCACAGTTCTTGAGGCCAGAAGGCTAAAATCAAGGTGATGTATATAAATCTCCACCCAAGCCAAGTATGGTGATGCAATGCCTGTAATCCCAGTACTTGGGAGACTGAGACAGAAGGATTGCTGTGAGTTCAAGAACAGCCTGAGGGGCTGGGGATTTAGCTCAGCAGCATAAGCACCTGCCTTGCAAGCAGGCAGTCGTGAGTTCGATCCCCGGTACCGATAAAAATGAAAAAGACAAAAAAAAAAAAAAAAAAAAGAACAGCCTGAACTGCACAGTGAGACCCTGTCTCCAAAAAAAAAAAACTCCATCCTCCAGGATTTGCATGTGCTAAGCAAGAGCCCTACCACTGACCTACATCCCCAGCCCCAATCAAACTGCTTTAAGAGTTTGTTTCATACCCCTCTCTCCCAGCTTCTAGTAGCTGTTGACAGTCCTTGGCATTGTTTGTCTTGTAGACAAATAACTTCAATTTCTGCTTCTACCTTCATATCATCCCTTCTCTGTGCCTCCTTTAACCTTCTCTTGTACTTTTTTTTCAGTGCTGGGGATCAAGTCCAGGACCTTGTATATGTGAGGCAAGGGCTCACCACAGAGCTTTATTTTTAGTCCTTTTTTATTTATTTATCTTTAATTTCGAGACAGGGTCTCACTAAATTGCTCAGGGTGTTCTTGAACTTTAGATCCTCCTGCCTCAGCCTCTCAAGTAGCTGGGATTATAGGCATGTGTTACTACACTTGGTGAATTCTAATTTTAATTATGGCTAAGATCCTTTTGCCACAGATTCTGTGTGGATTTTCCTTCTTGGGGGCCACCATTCAACTTACTGCAAAGAGACCATTATCCAGACTTAAAGTCTTCAAAAGCTACTCATGCCCTTCCGGATAAAGTTCAACACTCAAACTGGCAAGATTATGGAGCACCAGAAAAAATTGTTCATTGCTAGTGAGAATGAAAGACTCTAGGTCTATCCTCAACACCTAAAACAATTTAAAAAAAAAAACAGCAATAAACCCCCTATTTTTTGACTTTCTGGTAAGTAAGTTCCTTAGCAATAACCACACCTTGCATATTGGCTGCACTAATGCCACTGTGCAAAGCTGAGAATCATCAACTATAAAAATGTATCAAGCTTGGGTAGGATGTTATCAATGTTATGCAGGTGTGGAGAGAGTAAGTATGTAGAAACTCTCTGTACCTTGTGCTCAACATTGTTTTGAGCCCAAATTTCCTCTAAAGGAATTGTCTTTTTATTTGAAAAAAAATAGTCCTTCATAGGCAAGGTATTTCCAGGTACTCAGAAGGTTAATGTAGGAAGACTAAAAGTCCAAGGCCGGGCAATTTAGCGAGATCCTGTCTCAAGGTTTTAAAAAAAGGTTTAAAAAGAGTGGAGGATTTAATTCAATTGTAGAGAGAGTTAGGCTCATTCCCAGTATCACAAAATAAATAAAGTAAAAGCAAGTCCTTCAGATTTAGCTCAAATATTTCCACCACCAATATGGTTTTTTTCCCCAACCAGAACTTTTTTCCCAATTGTGATGATTCAATTTTTTTTGTGGTACTGGAGATTGAACCCAAGTTCTTTGCAATGAGCTACATTCCCAGCATCCCTGCCATACTCTAAAAACATTTTTTGAGACAAACTTTCACCTAAGTCGCTAAATTGCACCGGCTGGGTTTGAATTTGCATCCTCCTGCCTTGATCTCCCAAAGTGCTGAGGTTACAGACATTTGCCACCATGCCAGGCTGTTACTATTATTTTTAATACTGTGGGGGGGGGGAGGAGGTGCTGGAGATAGAACCTAGGATCTCCCAAAGCAAGGACTCTACCCTGAGATACATCCCCAACCCTTATTAATTTTATTATTGTGGCTTATCACTATTACTGCTTTTTTGATTTTTTTTTCTGAGTAATATTCCACTATAGCTTTTTTGATTTCTTGAAACAGGGTCGCACTATGTAGTACACTCTGGGATCAAATTCAATGGGATTCTCTTGCCTCAGCCTCCCAAATGCTGGGATTACAGGCATGTGCCACTATTCCCAGTCATTGTTACTTTTCTTATGGCACTCTGGCTGTTTTTTCTCTAAAAGACAATACCGTATTAGAGACAATATTGTCTCTGAAATCAAGAAAGACTCCTTAGCCAGGTGTGGTGGTACACCACTTTACAGCACTTTACAGCACATTACAGAACAGGGGGTGGGGATGGGCTGAGGCAGAAGAATCACAAGAGTTTGAATCCAGTTTGGGCTACATAGTGAGTTCAAGGCTAACCAGCAATATATGGCAAGATTCTGATTTAAAAAAAAAAATCCTAGTCTCAGCTCTGTTACTCAGTAGTTGTATAATACCAGGCAAAAGAATTTTCACTCTTTGGAAATGAGCTTCCTTATCCACAGAGTAACAACCCTTAAATTATGGTTCCATTTGTGAATTAAAGGAGATAATGTCTGAAAAATCAAGCGACACAGTAGGTGCCTCTTTCCAAGGAATGAAGGTTCATATTTGTTACGCACTTTTTTTTTTTTTGGTCTTTTTCCTTTTTTATTGGTACCAGGGATCGAACTCACGACCGCCTGCTTGCAAGGCAGGTGCTTATGCCGCTGAGCTAAATCCCCAGCCCCAAAGGTTCATATTTGTTCATGGACATTTCGAGGATGCACTTCAAGGCGTCTAAGAATCTCCCTGGAAATTCAAAATTTTGAATGTACCATTTTTCTGAGAAGGTAGACAGATTTTTGTCTTTGTGTTTGTTTGTTCTGAGACAAGGTCTTGCTGTGTAGTTCGGGCTGGTCTTGAACTCACTGTGTAGGTTAGGCAGGTGTGGAACTCGTGGTACTCCTACCTCAGCCTCCTAAGTGCTGAGATTACAGGTGTACGCCACCAAAACCAGCTTCTTCCTTGGCATCTTAAAGGGTCAGTGAACTAAAAAAAGATTAGGAAACTT